GACGTACATGCACTATGTAATACGCGGAGGCACAGTTGATAGAGAGAAACCCAAAACAGGACCTCAGTATGTCGTGTAAATATGTTGTTGATATTCATGCCAAGGGTAATAATTTACCGTGTAATTAACGGAGGCTGATGTGGGAAACAGGTCATTTTGCCGAAATGTAGGGTTGAACTAGACAATTAGTTAAAAATTTAGGCGAAAAGTAGACATAATTCACCGTAAATCCCGAGATATCACCATCTTTGTTGACAAAGAGGAAACGTCAAGCTGTTTTACCACAACAGGTGAAGATCTTTTAAAGAGCACCCCTTTTATTTCCTATTCAGCTCCTTTAGAAATAGCATTTTCCAAAAGGAAATGAAAAATAGGGCATCGTGTAGAACATAAGTTTTTTATTTGAAAATAACCTTAAAACAGCCCAACATCACAAAAGGAGGGATGGTGAAGTTACTGATGAGTGAGCATCGACGGTGAGGGCGGTGGCTTTAATCCATCCACATTTATGGTGCAGGACATTTTTGTTTCGGGTTTTTTATGATTGAGAATGAAGCTGTAAATCAGTGGTACCAAGTTTGTTCTCTTCTGCTCGCTGGCTTTGCTATTTTACCTAGGTAATCCATAACATGCTAATTCAGGCGCTTTCATTATGATATAGTAGTTGGCATTTGATAAATAATGTAGACAACTTCTGGGCGTTTGTAAACACTTTTCTCTCTTTTGATGCACTCTAGAGTTTAATTAACAGCCTTCCCAATTCAAAATTTAACTTTTCCTCCATTTCCACATATCACAGCTCATTATACTTTATCACTATATTCTCTTATCTGAAGACTCTTCAACCAAACTACATTCTAGTAATAGCAGGTAGTATGAGTTTTATTTCATATACAATACCTTCGTCCGTTCTCCTACAAATGCTTAAGCATTCTTAATGTCTTATATCCAAATACCTTGTTGCTCTTTTGTTCTTATTTTCTGAAACTATGTTAGTAGCGCATGACCAGAGGGCTCCTTTTTGTGTCTGGAACACAAAGCTAACGTACGTGTTGCCAAGATCACAGCCAATACCAAGCGTCTTTCAATAGCTATTTCAAAACATCTATTAACCTACTAAACAGTTGCACTGGTCTCGTTTATTTAATAACCTTAATTGAGAGGTAACTAATCTGTAGACAGATGTTGTAAAATACCTTAACTACTATGTCAGAAATATATTATTGTTATTACGTGTCCCCCTTATTTCCCTTATATTTGCATTTAGTTGTTCTTCTTGGTTTGCATTATTCAAACCCCAAATGTAGAAAATAAATTAAGTCTCAAAGCTTTCGCCACTAGCCGTATTCACGAGAGGCTTACCTACAAAAAAACTATGAATAACAGGACGTTTTCTAGAATGAAAATAACACTTTATTATGTTGTAGACGTGTCAAGTGTAGCCCAATCAATCATGAAGAAAATTAAAAAGTTCAAACGTCACTCCTCTAACTACATATATGATGGAATTAATACGGAATAACTACAATTATGTAAGTAAGTAAACGAGAATGTGGAGTTTATCCCCGCTTATTTGGTCTCATCTAGTCGATTCTTTCTCTTTAAAACACATGTTTGTCTACAATTCTATCTCTGATGGAGTCTTAAATGGACTGGAACAAATCCACTCATCTAATACCTTTCACTTGAATAAATTCAGCCCCTCCTATGTCTCAAGCATTTTTATCTCAAAATGTCCCTGGTATACAATCGCTGTGGAGTTTTTGGGAATGTCATGCATGTCATTCTTAATGCAGCCTCATCGAAAACTGTTGTGATCACAGTGACTAGCGTCATCCAAAAAATTCAAGTTTAACCTGAATGGAAACCAATATTAACGTGTGGTCACCAGATAGCAATGATTCATAACGTTTTGCCATCACTCTGTATCAAACAGTTATCGCCTACCGGTGAAAGTTTGATGTAACCAGATGTGGATAGGTCCTAGTACCCTAAGTACTACATGTATATATCTAAACTTCACTCCTGTTGTGCTGATCCCTGCCGTCTTACAACCCACCTGGATCTATATGGACCGCACGTGCAAGCCAACGGTTATTTCCAGTGTCCACGGTCCGGTGAGTATACCCATCATTGACCTTTGACCATTCCATTCATGTTGCAGGAGTCTAGTCAATATCACCTTTAAACCCCTCCAGAATAAAAAATGTTTTTGTACAGGTTCATCGTGTAACCATTCCATATGCCAATAGACCTTTATTTATTTCAATTGTAGAGCTGCCAATTGAAGCATATCATGCTTTTTTTTTACCCGAAATTAGACAATTACGCATACCAATATGTTGTTCTATCGCCAGTTTAACTGTATTCTTTAGAGGTTTTTACAAATAACTGCTGACTGTCACGCAGGACGAGTCAGTACAGAAAGTGATATAATTTCAGAGTAACATTAGGTAATCACATCTTGTCAATCCTACAACTTTGGACTGGGTCTATTTTCCTTAAAGCACCGATCTGCTCACCTGTATTATTTAGTGCTATGTTCGGGCCATACGAATATTTGTAGATTCCTAGCAGATCAGTCAATTTATTCTTCTTGAGTCATGTTTTGATCCTGTCAGTTATTCTCCTATAAACTTGACTGTTTTTACACGAGCATGTATGTGTGTCGCTTATACTATCCACCACATGACTCTGCCTTGTCTTTGTCCTAGTCAAAAATAGTGAATGACGTTCTACCAAACGGAGTTATTACGTTTTCGTCCTCCACCAAGCCTCGGTTCCCGCTTGTCATTCTTAATGTCTGCCTAAGTTAAAGAGAACTTGAAATAAATTCACCCAACTTAACCCGTATTTGGCTTCTTGTTTCTGCGGTCTCACACATGTAATTAGTCTAGGTATATTATACGAGGTGGGAATAATGGTAGCTAGAACAAACGTATTGGCCGAAATGCCAAATACAAGTGAATATTTCACAAATTTACAAAATGAACGTTGAGTAAGTAGGAACTTCTATTGTTTATTACTGTATGGAAAATTTTTGTTTTCTACTCACTGTATCCCTCCACACTCCGCAGTGCGACGATCACGACCAGCTACGATGGAACTACGATTATTCAGGGAGCGGAATCGAGGACGTTTGGACCCTAAAATGTTTTAATAGTGTCAGCGCTTGTTAAACAGTGACAATGGCCTCCATGTAGTGGTTTTTAATCATAATCTTTATCGTTACTTAATCCTTCATTCGATCGATGGCATTCTGGATTCTCATTCAGTTTGATTCCTTTTACTCCCTAAGTTAGTAAACTCGCCAGTCATCGCACGATGGTTGTGTCTGTTAAGTACGACAAATTTACGGATGAATCGTATTTCACATTGACTGAGACAAACTGCCTGTATGTTGGCCAATTTCTAGGACGTCAGTAATATACCTCAGTCAGATAGCTTACAATTAAATTTCTCCACACTATCACCAGTATAGCATTTACATTCTTTCAAATATTTAGCAAGGTCTTTGAGTATGTAAAGCGTTTTAGGAACCATTTTCGGCACACTGAACATATAATCTTCGAGTGCAAAATATGTTTCTGCTACTTTCAGCTTGATGCTGCCTATAGTGTGCTGTAGAAAGCACGGACTATCTGATGACATGTGCATATAACTGCTATTTCTACACAAAGAATTATTTGTGGGTTAACCTAGTTTTAGACACGTTTTGATAGGCCTGAGGAATCAGAAATCAGTTCATGGTCGATTGCAAAGTGAGAGGTGCTAATGAGTGCGTGCTGCTGGGCATAAACCGACCTAATTTCACGGGGAAGCATATACGTACAGCACTGGATGAAAATTTGGCTCCATTTTTTTGTGGAAATATCTTTATCACTGAGTGAGTAGATGAATGTGCTTTGATCCGGGTAAACTAATTATACCCCGGAAATAAATCTTGGTTTTCCATTCAAGTAGCAGGTTAGGCCAGGATACTGGAGGATTGAATATTAGTAGTAATGTCGGATGACCTCCCAACACATCTCTTTAAAGACATCTGAAAGTTAGAGGAAGATATGCATCTGACTTCAATCGAACATAAATTAAAGACAAAGAACCCCACGCTGTAAATAGATAGGAAACTTAAAGATGATGATCATACGATTATCAGACTACCCTGGACAGGTACACAGCGAGAACTGACTTCGTACTGACTATAGGTTAGATCCAGTATTCTTTTAATGAGTCATCGACCAGGAATCATCATGTAAACATAATAAGGTGAGATAATCGGAACTAGATTAGGTCTGTCTAGATTTATTTGAAAAAAATACTGGTACCCAAGTACATATTTTTAACGATTTAAAGTCAAAGACATAAAAGAAAGTTAGGGAGAAAAGATATGTTTGATAGCGCACAGTGGTAGGGGAGCCTGTGACATGCGAAATGGTTACCTAATATCTAAGAAGAGTTTTGTGTGCGGTCTTGCAGAGATTTGGCGGTGATACCTGACCATGTGCTCCCATCAAAGTTAAAAGTCAGTAGAAACACCGAATGCTTGTAAACCATTCATTTTATGGAATTACCACAAGCAGCCCCTGAAAAAGTTTTTCAGGATGTCCTGAAGTTTCACATGAAGCTGGACCTATTAAATCAAAAGTTCTCATTGTTTTACGTTATCTCAGCTGATTTAGAGGAAACTTCTAAGATGATTTATAGTGATACAGAATTTTGTACTTTGTATCTTCACTTGGTTCAGGCAAGCATGAGCACAGTTACAGTTAACAACCTCATAATTGATTTTTTCTCATCGACGATCAATAACTACACCCTACATTGGTTCACCAAAAAATAGGCTACATTAATTAAAAGGTTACCTTTGGCACCATCAACAAGTCAACTAGCATACACGATTTTAGCAGATACGAATGAAATTTCCATCTATACCTAATGCTAATAGCATTATTCATGGATGTACTTATGGCTACTTGACTAAGGGTATTTTAAAATAAGGAGCTATGGTTAGCTACTAAACATCCTGTATTAACATTGAGAATTGAATTGGAGCGCTTCCGTGTTGGGATATGTTGTTAGTTAGCATCGGTTGTGGAGAGTAATTTGTCAAGGCGCTTGATACAGTGATGGACTCGAACAATCTTCTATCTCTAGAATATACGTTCAGTAGTTCCCTGGTTAGTCTGAGGCGGTCAGTCTCAAGAGAGATTTCCGCTTCTGTTTCTAGTAGGTCGCAAATGCTTCATTAACATATCTCCTCTAGAAATACGACGGCAGTTCCTATGTGTTCAGAGCGGTAAGTGGTTGACAGTTAATTGTTCATTTTTTGTTTCTATAGAATTTAATAATGAGATTTCTCGCTTACGTGAACAAAATAAAGCTCTCGTTCGGTAGGGCTATCATTTTAGCTGATTTTTCGCAGAACTTTGCAGCAGATGGAGGAAATGATAAAAGGAAAAGAAATTGAAATATATGGGTTACGTAAGCTTCACTTGGTAGTGTTGAAAAAACTTCTAGGCCATCAATTGCAAAGCTTCTCGGCTGGGCGAGGTGTGTGTTCTAATTGCTCTGGAGATTCTATCCAAGCTAGAAACACGTTAGTAAGAAACACTGTCTTTAACCCAACCAACAAACGCCCGCTTACGACAGTAAGTTATCTAGTTTAGCAGGTTGATAAGGATAATTACCACGTGTTTTGTGTACGTTACTCATTACTTACTACGTCAGGTCTATTTTCGATCTCAATGGTGACTTTTGATTCATGGTGCTTGGTTTAGTACCAGTTAGCTAGTCATAATCGTTGTCGAACCTAGCGCTAGCGTGCTTTAGACCAAGTTTCCATTCAACATCACAATGATGAGACAAAATCAAAGCTCTAAATATACGAAAAGTCGGTTATTGCATCAATAATAACAAGACGTTACGGTTCGAGAAAAAAAGTAACATGTGTATAGAAGAATACTGGGACCCAATATTTAGAGAGAGAATAGGGGTGAGTGCGTCTGGATAAATGACCTACTGTGAGCCATGTTGGTCAACACTAACCAACAATCCTAGATTTCCCTCGAACTTGAACTAGTATATCCGCATGGGTACTCCTAGCTTTGCTCTAGCATACTTATACACCAGCCGCGACTATACTTCAATGTAGACAGTCATTAAACATACGTATAACACAAGTAAACTACTTCAGTCGATAAACAGTCAGACTAACGTATTCACCCAAAATCCTATGCTTAACCGCAGTATTACCTACTCGGTCGTTACAAAATCCTCATAATTCTTGTACTTCGAAATCCGGAACTCTGCGCATGTCTTTTACTCTGATAGACATCACAACCACGCAGTAATATGGAGCGGGCTGTCGCTCAATAAACACACTAATCAACAAACACCTCGCTTTCTCCACAAATAACAAAAGTTGTTAAAGACCAACTGAGCTCTTAATCGGTACCGACCCATCACCAGACAGCAAGCCATCGGACTTGACGAGGCTTATAGAGTAAGTGCACCTTAGTAGTCCACTCACCATTACTTCACGGGTCGATGGAGACTAGTTTTGAAGCATTTAACATTTAGAAGCGGAGAAACGCGTCTCGCACACGCATATTTGCTCAAGACTATCAAAAGATTCTGCATTTTGTCAGAGTCTTGACTTGATCGACACATTGTGACGTACTTTTCATTTTCCCACTTTATTCGTTTGTGATTGCTTCTGTAGCTTCATATTTTTAATTCTTCCCAACCATTGCTATCTTTATTTCTGTTTCTTTGCGCTTCCTCGTACTATGTAGTTATTATTTGTAGCTACTTGAGATTGTATGGGCTGTGTTCTGGCAGTCTTATCTTTACATAGCGATTTGCACCCATAAAAACAACTGTCGATGCATTACTCGAGTTTTATCAAATTGTTGAGTTATGTTATGCACTCGATTAATCCATTTGTGATCCTAATACGATTTATCGTACTAATGTGTATAATGTTCACTTCCTATAGATCGATGACTCAGTGCTTGATACGGTCACCTTTCAATCGACAGCTTGCAGTTTCAGTTCCCCTTAAATTTAAACTGTCAAGTAATCTCACAAGCCTTCACGTAAAGTCTGGCTCAAAGCTGTATGTAAACATGTTGCATGAAGTCATTCCCATTTCATGCTATAGGGTTTCTAGTTACATCCAAAGTATGTCTGTTGGGAGGTTAAAATGGATTTTAAACATGCACTATCATGTAATGTGTCTTAAGATCAAGTAATATGCCCGTAAATTCACCCGAAACTTGAGTAAAATCAAGGTATCATGAAAGCAAATAATTCTCTGAATAACATTCTACTTAAGGCTTCTTTGTAGGCAGCCAAATCCATTGTTCCACATCGTAATGTTATTCCTGTACCTCCACAGTGTTTTCGTCTTACCATTTTATACCCTATTTGGATTCACGCTTTGTTTTGAAATACTTTCCTTGCTAATCTGTTACTCACTTGTATACTAAATATCTCTTGTTGCCAAGTTACCCATCTAAAATATATAGTGCATAAAAATTTTGTCCGATTTTTATAAGATTTCATCGTCGATATCAGATGGTTTGTCGGAATCCAGTTTAAATAGTCATATTCAGCAGCCCATAAAAAAACGTCCATATGTGCTGGCGAACGATGTTGAAAGCGCCGATGTAGAAAACATTAACAACATAACACCAAAAGGTAAGTATCTTAATTATTTCCTCTAAACGTTCAGAATGTCACAAACATTCAGATTTTTGAGATAGAAGTCAGCAGTCCTAATTTATCAATAATCCAGTTTGTGCTATAAATCCTACCAGATTTGTACTGAGCAAGAAATATCAAAATCTCATTTGATTGCTTCATCAAATACCCAAAACTATCGTACTAATTGTTAAATTCCACTACTCAGTGTGTCAAAAGGTTGGCTATTAAGTTCCTAGTGTCAGTACCAGGATCTTGGTTTGGGTAAATGTGTGCTGTCTGTGTAAGACACCCACTCCTATTATTTGTATGAGGAAAACGTGTTTATGTACTTGTATACTGTATAAAAGAATGTTCATCTCCAAGTTATCACATTTCGGATTAACAAATAAGCATGATGACAGATAACGAGATAAATCAATGGTGTTAATTACCATAAAAAACTAAGTATAAGGAACGTTATTCAAGTGAAATGAATGAGACCAGAAGCTATAACTTAAGCGATTCAAGACTTATAAAAAGAGAATTAGTTTGTCTATTTTATTTGGACACATGAATATTGGTACAAGAGAGCGCCAATATATATGCGCCACACAAAACAATGAAAATTCGAGAGGAATACAAAGAAAGAAAAAAAAAAGCTAAGGAGCGCAACAAAAAAAGAGAGAACAATAACGAAGAGATTGGTGTAAGGTAATGTGCTAGTAATCAGGGAACGCAAAGGTACAATCAGAAGAAATCTTTCAGGTAGGGAGATACAACCACTTTTTATGAAGAAAGTAAAAGAAGGTTACAGCAGGATCGCCACTGGCTTCTATTCTGAGCCATATCTGATAACGTCTCTAGCCACTGTGTAGCACCATCTCTCAGACCCCAACCAGGGAGTCGTGAAGGACCAACACAAGCCAGTCCTTTGCAGCTTTCTTTCATGCCACGACACCATGTCATGCACTGACCACCTCTCCGCTTCTTCCAACCAGTCCCAGAGTCGGCAAATAATGCACGACGTGGAATTCTCTGGGACGACATTCGGAGAACATGTCCAAGCCACCGAAGTCGGTGTTTCAAGATGGTGACACCAATTGCATTATCATCTCTGTGCCCGAACACACGATGCCGAACCTCTGCATTACTGACATGGTGTTGCCACTGAATGTCAGCAATCCTTCGGAGACAGCGATGATCGAACACAGAGAGTCGTCTAACGTCCTCAACTCGGAGAGGCCAGGTTTCACAAGCATAGAGCAAAACTGCTCTCACCGACGCGTTGTAGATCCGACCTTTTACAGCCAGACTAACATCACGAAGGCGCCAAAGATGGCCCAGATTGGCATAAGCCGCTCTGGCTTTCACTATTCGTGCATTGATCTCATCACTCACACCCCCACCAGCACTTATGCAGCTACCCAGATACACGAACTTCTCGACTACGTCTATCTGCTCACCATCCAGGGTGAGTACAGGATTGGAATCCTGCCAGTCTTGTAGAAGTACTTTGCACTTCGAAGGTGCAAAGCACATACCATACCTACGGACACTGATTGCCAACTGATTAAGTGCGGATTGCATGCCTTGGGCATTATCGCACAGTAAGACAATATCGTCCGCATACTCAAGGTCGAGAAGTCTTTCTCCAGGCAACAGATCCACACCACCATTACTTACATTCATCAGAGCTGTTTCCAGAATGTCATCGATGGCAAAGTTGAAGAGGAATGGTGAGATTGGGCAACCCTGCCTAACCCCACTGCTCGAATGGAACAATGGAGAGAGGTGGTTGTATGCCCTCACTCTGCCTGAGGTGTTTTTATATAGGGCTTTCAGGATGTTAATAAACTTCTCAGGCACACCCTTCTTCAATAGACAATCCCAGAGAACAGTCCTGTCCAACGAATCGAAGGCAGCCCTGATGTCAAGAAACACTACGATTGTTGGCCTTTGATAAGTATGGCGGTGTTCTAACATTTGGCGGAGGGTGAAGATATGATCAATACATCCTCGACCAGAACGAAACCCAGCCTGCTCCTCGCGAGTCAATCTTTCTCGGGTTTTGAACAACCTACGAAGTATGACGGAAGCCAATAGCTTGGACGCAATCGGAAGTAGACTTATCCCCCGATAGTTGTTACAGGAACGACGTGAACCCTTTTTAAAGATAGGGACAACTATCGACTCATTCCATGACGTTGGTACACTCTCTAGTTCCCAAACCTTTGTAAACAACGTCGTCGATTCCTTAGTCAGAAAGTCATCACCATCTCTAAAAAGAGCCATAGGTACGTAACCTGGGCCCGGTGATTTGTAGCGTCTCAATAGTTCTGCCTATCGTCCAAGACGTCGATGGACTTATACAGCAGCTCGCCTGTGGTGGAAACTCTGTTCTATCTAAACGTTCCGTGGAGTAATGCCATTCGTTGGTGTGCGTAATATCAATCAGCATAGTGCATGGAGATTGTTCCTACGATTTAAGTCGCTATCGTTCAATGAATAAAGAGGGTTTAAATGCAGTGACTCACAGATTGCCTAGAAAACTATTCTAGTTGTTTTGCTATTCTTTAGATCAACTTTTTCTATTTCAAAGTGGTTAAACTTCGAAGAGGGTGACTGAAATGAATTCATATCTGCCTTAGTCTTTTGCATTTCGCGGTTGACGCAATAAGCACTTCAGTTAAATATTCTTGTTTCACTTCGGAAATGCAAATATTGGGTGGTTTTAAAAAAAAGCTAGCATCCTGATCGTTTTATTTAGATTTGTTTGGTAAGTTTAAATTTCAACACCTTAAATCACTTGCTTTCGTAATAAAGGAGTTCGCCGCGTCTTAATCTTTGTGATTCTTTTTACTACAAATAAGTTTTTTAACTATGGTCAAAAAATTTTCCTGTTACAGGTGTTCGCAAATCCCCTTCTGGAGCACCTGATGAGAGCCAATGTGAAGACGAAGTATCCAAAAGCGAATCTACAACACTAACTAACAGCGTTTTCCCTGTCGGTTCCCTTAGCCCACCATCACAAATTTATGATGCCTCCTTAGCAGTAAAAAATGCAATTAATCACAACGATCTGGCTGATTACGATGCTACTTACAGGGATTCTTCTATGTTGGATATGTCAGGTGCAAATAATAGAGGGAACATGTATGTATCATACTGCTTACAGTTATTTTATTCATAGTAATGTTTAGCTATTATTGTCATATTCACTTAAATAACTCACCCACTATCAATTTGAGTCCAAAGACCTTCTTGTCTTCCTGGAAATATTAATGTATAAAATATAAGTAATATGTAGTTCTACAACAAACTATGGTGAGTTCAAGTTAAGCTTACATCCAAAGTTATAAGACAACAGTAACCTACCACAAAGCAGTCAAACGTAAGCAATAGATAGTTTGGAATGGCTATTCAAGCAAAGTATATTTCAACTAATAAGAGAATAAACAGAGTTGATAATTAGTTTAAATAATGAGGTACCTAGAGAAAAACAACTATTGAGTACTCGTAAGTAATATAGAGTTATGAAGCAAAAAGTTCACAGCTGTAAGTAATGGTAGTAATAAGTGGATTGTTCCTATTGCCTAACTTTCCAACTGTTATATTTATTATTACCAATGTGCTACCAAGACAAATAATGTGGAATGTTTACCTGAATTCTTGTAACAAGTGGTGTTTTTAATTATCCTTTGTATTCCTTTTAAGAATCTTGTAAATGAATAATTTCAATTCACCTTACCAACAGTTGATAAAAATTAAGCAGATTTTGTTCCATGGTTTTATTGTAAATGGATTTCTTATTTTTTCTACTGAACGCAGATCTTCATTTAAAAAATGGTAACCATAAGTCCTGCGTTATGATGGATTTTACAAAACTTACTTGAATTACAAGTTTTCGAAGTAATATGTCAATATTGTGTTTGATTTCGCATCATAAAAGTAATATGCATTACTTAGCAAAGTCTGCTTAGACTATCAAATCACCTTACATATCATGGGATCAGATGTATTTTTCTATTTAGCTTAAGTATCTAGGCAATACCTTTAATTGTTACGACAAGACTGTTTCAGTTTAACAAGAAGAATATTAATTATTCTAATCAAGTTATTTATTCTGTTATTCTTCCAAATTTAATGCTGAAATCCCTTTGAATGTTAATTCTTCAACATTAGGTTAGAGTCTCCAAGTACTAACCGGACGGGACCTATTGGTTCAGAATTCATTCCAGGTATTAGAAACCCTAACAAGTTAATATCAGCGAACGGCTCTGACCAGGTTCAGGTTGTCTGTCATCGACCAAAACGTACACATCGACCATCTTGTCGTTACTTTCATCGTACATTTTCCAGTAAAGAAAACAAGCAAGAAAAACAGAAATCTGATGATACTGGTGATGACATAAGTCTGCCTTCTGGTTTTCTCGAATCCGAAACATCAGTTCATTTAACACCAAAATCCATTACTAGCGGTAGTTTGTTTCATTTTGAAGTTCAAATACTTATAATTTAACATTCACTGACTTAATAAATATCCAAATACTTCATTGTAATAATTATTTCTAACATAATGATTAGTTAGTTTACCCATAAACCATACCCTAGATGTTACTTGTGAATATCTCAATAGTGATTTCAATTTCATTAGCTTTACCTTGAACTTAATATTTAAGGATCTTTCATAATGTGCTTCACTTATCGTCGGGAAATATCACTTGATTTCTTCCCTGAATCTAGCTTCAATTCACACACCAAGTAGACAGTATAAAGATGCATGTTTGCGATATATTTCTTACTCATACATACTGAATACTATAAACAGTAATATATTAAAACAGCAAGACTTCCGAAGAAATTATCAACAATTACTTGAAAACCATATTGCAAAACATGTGGAACTGATTAGTTCGGGATTTTCCGCTTGTCATGCAACGTAAGACTTGTCATAGGCAGCATAAATTGCCTTGCAGATTAACACCGAAAGCATTAGAATAGGTTTTACATCATAACTGTTCTCGTCACAATCGTTTTATGGAAACGTTACCCATTTTTGTGTTGATGAAATTAACCTGATAAATTTTCCGTAAATGTATTCCTTTATAAACGTCAAATTAGAAAATCACTTTGACTGGATACTTACGTAAAATGCAAATTCGTCATATATAATTTAAAGAATAGTACAAATATTCTTAATAGTTTGTGTTATTACTATTAGAATGTATAAATTTCTGGTGTTTTGTGTGTGTTCCAATAATGGATTGATATTCAAGAGATCGTTAACCAGTATAGATTTCTATCTAATAAAATTACATGCTTATATACGATTTATTAATTCAAAAATAATTATGATTATCATAAGCAATTGAACCATCCTAGTTTTGCAGGTCGTTCACTTAAATGAACTAGTTATTTAGATAAAATAACAACACTAGGACTAGTAATCACTATTTCTCCCATAGATCGTGTCGAAAGTTAAAAGTAAAGTAAATTCCATCACTATTAGGAATATGGTGATCGTATATCATTTTACTCAATATCAAAACGATAAAATTTTCAGTGACCATACATTAATATGTATCTCAAGTAGTAAGCTAATTTTTCCTATGGTCAAATTGGTTTGTAGGAACTCATAAATGTTTCTATATATATAGGAGTATGTCTTCTACTTCAGTTGAAAATAAGCAGTAAATTGCTTATGCTTCATACGGATGAATAAGCTAAATAAACTCCATACTTTTGTAAGATGTTTGGTCCAGACTATTCATGATATAATTACTGAGACAATGTGAAACACAGAAAGCTACGCTACAGTACTACACGCGTCTCACATGCTGAGGGTTTCAGGAACGCCAGAACTGGTGGATAACCACGTTTTAAGATCTCGTTATGAAAGTTACAAAACCCTGCAACTCTCATTTGTGTTTTTATCCATATTTGCCTTTCGTCATCCTAGATGCATCAACAAAGCACAAACGTAATAAAGCGAAATCTCACTTCCCATCTATTGGTGGTTCACCGACCCGTGATGAGTCAAACTTCAAGTTTCCACTTCCTCCACAACGTACAACTTTGGTTGCAAAAAAACCACTTTCTGTTGCAAATAGCGTTGGTGTAATGGTACGTTTCCGTGATTTTTACCAAAAGCAATACTCTAGATAGTTTTTGAAGTTGTAGAAGGTCTTAGCTATTACTAAAGTTTCTAAGCTTAATTCCGGGAAGAGTTGGGGATACGTACTCCTGAGAAGTGATTTCTAAGGACGAGATGAATATCCAGTGCTTCCTGATTTTCTTTAGTTGTTTAGCTCAAGTTAGTCCACAATGTAAATTACTCCATCAGTCATTACTCTGATGTAACATTGAATGTATTGTTTGTATATATTGTCTATTGGTCTGAGTGTTCAATGGATTTATCAGATAGTACATACGGGTATATTAATGCATTTATTCATATTTTTAGCAACTCAGAAAGATGAATAAGCTATAAACTAAAAATATAGAAAGTTGTTATCAAACATATGGACAGGTAGACCAATACAGTTCATTACTCCGTATTGTTCGCTCACTGTCTCAAATAATTGTAATTATACAGTAGCCTCGTCCATCACGATGATGTCATTCAGAATAACGATAAAAGCTCCACGACCAAACCATCCAGCCCGGAGAACAAAACTCCACCAAAATCATCCACCTAAGCTACAAATCTTTGTTTATCTTATATTTGTTTGAAATCAGTAAGTTCACTGTAAGCTTCCAGTTTGACGGGTCTTCAAACCTTAATGGATTGCCTCCAACGATTTTCGTTGATGGTTCGTTGTTTGTTAGGAACTTCACAACATGAATTACATACACTTCAGGCATATTTTTTAAAAGTAATTGTTCTTTTTTAAAGAGTTTTTATCGCAGAAGTGATATTTTGAATTATATTCTTTTAAAAACCCAGCTGTTCAAGACTGGTTTATACGATAAACATACATATTAAAGCGATATCATCCTAATCGAGTATTCATTTCAACACATTTTAATAAAATTAAACGTAATATAATCATTCCTGTAGGCAAATGTAGTTGATATATCTTTATGACCGATACATAATGAAATTTTGCGGAAGGTGGCTAGGATGATTACATAGAAAGGCTTTTTTGATTAATGGTCCTCCATATTTTCCCGTTTTCCTCATGCTTATCAACTACTTACTCCAATATGCATAGTTTCATAGGTGAAAAAGGGGGTGTAAATATTTTCCTATCTCCTTATACACAATTGTACCTCTAAGTTTTTTGTATCATCACTGCCCTAGTGACTAGAATGGCATGGAACTAAAATGAATAGTCATATCTGTAGACCTATACGGTGTAGTGTTATAGTCTATGCTTTGAGGTGAGGTTTACATTCGACAGACCGTGGTTAAGGTGAACAAAAATTTGAAAATTTCCATTTATTTTAACTAATACTATTTTATTGTTTCACGCAGTTTATTCAGATCATTTATTTCATGTATCTTGTTCCTATTGTAACTAAAATCTCATAACTCACTTCCTTCTTCTCCTGTTGAAAAAAATAAGAATACGAGATATTAAATTCATAAAACAACTTTCTCAAGATTGTCAATGATTCATTCCACCTGGGAATTAATAGTGATTCAGATCAGTTTATCAAGTCTATACTCAACTTTGACACTTTATGTATTATTTTAACACGTAGCTAAGATTATGTCAATTCCAAAGATTGATTCAAATGATTTTTCTTCTAGTACGAGACTTTATTCATGTAAATGCGGGGTTTCTGTAAATAGATTTCGCCTTTGTCAATATAAAATAATTATCATGATAAGTGTAAAATCTTTATCCATTGAGTTATATTTTCTTTTACACAAGTAGTGTCTTAATCAGACTGATACGAACGATGCGTCTGAAAAGTCTGATATGGATCAAGAAAATAGTGATGAGAATATCATTTACCCGTGTGACCTTTGTGATCAAGTCTTTAAACATAAACTTGCTCTTTGTAGTCACAAAAATGTGCTCATCGTGCTAAGGTTAGATACGTTTTTTTCCCATACTCGTTTTAAATTAAGAAATATATCCTTTTACGTAGAGCGGTTTTTTTGAATGGTAACTGAATTATTACTAAATCATAAATAATATATAAACAATATATAATCTTTTTTTTGCAACATAAATTGGTGATTACTTCGGCTTGATTGAATGTTGACCAACATTTTCGAGAACAACAAAGATATAAAAGAGAAACAATGGATATCGCAAACCATTCTGGATATTCGTTTGCTTAGATGGATCCAAAAGCCAATAGTTTGTAACAATTCATTAAGAGAAATCAAACACTTATCTTCCAAATATTTTTAAGTTTTAGACATTACTCTGAATTGTCCAGTCGATCATAATTTAGCTTTTTGTATTGTACATAAAATTGTCACACTGAATTCTAAACTATTTAATTGACGTAACTTAAAAAATTAGTAACTTAATCTATTTATTGTTGCTAAGTTTGTCCATTACTTACTTACGTCTGTTACTCCCAATGGAGCATAGGCCGCTTACCAGCATTCTCCAACCCACTCTGTCCTGGGCCTTCTTTTCTAGTTCCATCCAATTCTTGTTCATTTTTCTCATGTCTATTTCCATTTCTCGGCGTAATGTGTTCTTTGGTCTTCCTCTTTTCCTTTGGCCTTCAGGATTCCATGTGAGGGCTTGTCTTGTGACGCAGTTGGGTGCTTTCCTCAATGTGTGTCCTATCCACTCCCAGCGCTTCTTCCTGACTTCTTCCTCCGCTGGGATCTAGTTTGTTCTCTCCCACAGTACGTTGTTGCTAATAGTGTCCGGCCAATGGATCTGAAGTATTTTGCGTAGAAAACTGTTAATAAACACCTGTATTTTCTGAATGATGGCTTTCGTAGTTCTCCAGGTTTCTGCCCCATACAGTAGAACTGTCTTGACATTTGTATTGAAAATCCTGACCTTGGTGTTGGTTGACAGTTGCTTTGAGTTCCAGATGTTCCTCAGTTGTGGATATGCTGCTCTTGCTTTGCCGATCCGCGCCTTCACATCTGCATCAAATCCGCCGTGTTCATCAATGATACTGCCCAGATCGATCCTTACGGAATCCTGCCTGTTGGTCACGAAGTTGGGCGTCTACGCAGTCCTTCATCCTGTTTAACAATACCCTGTTGAAGACTTTTCCCGGTATTGAGAGAAGGGTGATGCCCCTGTAGTTATCACACTTGCTGAGATCGCCTTTCTGTGGTATTTTGATCAGAAGTCCTTTCCAGTCTGTTGGTATTTGTTCTTCATCCCAAATCTTGCTGAAGAGAATGTAGATTATCCTTGCAGTTACCGCTACGTCTGCTTTCAGTGCCTCTGCCGGGATGTTGTCTGGTCCTGCTGATTTGCCACTCTTGATTTGTCTGATGGCCATGCTGATTTCTTCAATTGTTGGTGGGCCAACATTGATTGGGAGGTCCGCGTGTGCTGCTTCGATATTGGGTGGGTTCGGTGGGGCTGGTCGATTCAAGAGTTCTTCGAAGTGTTCTACCCACCTGTTTTGTTGCTCTTCAATGTTGGTGATTACCTTGCCTTCCTTGCTTTTCACTGGTCGTTCTGGTTTTCGGTGATTTCCAGAGAGTTTCTTTGTTGTGTCATACAGTCCTCTCATGTTTCCTTCTCTTGCAGCCTTTTCCGCCGTCATTGTTAGATCTTCCACATATTTACCTTTGTCAGTTCTGATGCTCCTCTTCACCTGTATTCAGCTTGTGCCTTGACTTTCTCTGCTCTTGTTCGGCTGGTATTGATTGCTGCCTTCTTGTTCCTCCTTTCTTGAATCTTATCCAGTGTATCAACAGTGATCCATTCTTTGTGGTGATGCTTTTTGTGGCCCCGAAGATCATGACGTGTCGAAGTGATTGCTTCTTTTATTCCTTTCCAGTTGCTCTCCATAGTAGTTCCCTTTCCATTGAGTAGATCATGAAAGGCCTGGAACTTATTGCTGAGGGTTATCTTGAATTTGTTGAGTTTGTCCGTATCCCGAAGAAAGGCCGTATTAAACTTTTGTACTGTTGTCCGCCTCATTGTCCGGTGCTTCTTGAGTTTCAATTTCATCTTGACGACCAGCAAGTGATGATCTGATGCTATATCATCTCCTCTCTTGGTTCTCACGTCCTCTATAGTCCTCCTGAACTTTTTGTTGATGCAGATATGGTCGATTTGGTTTTGCGTGGTGTGATCCGGTGAAGTCCATGTGGTTTTGTGTATGCGTGCCGCCTATGACCAGTTTATTGAAGGCACATAGGTTTGCAAATCTCTCATCATTTTCGTTCCTTTCTCCCAGTCCGTGTTGTCCCATGATGTCTTCATATCCAGTGTTGTCCGTTCCAACCTTGGCGTTGAAATCTCCCATCAGAATGGTCAGGTCCTTTGTTGGACACTTCTCGACGATTGACTGCAGACTATTGTAGAATTGATCTTTAGCGTCTTCATTGTAGTCGTTGGTAGGCGCATAGCATTAGATGACGTCCATTGAAATGCTCTCTTTCTTTGTTTTGAACGAGGCTTTGATGATCCTTAGTCCATAAATTCCCATCCTATAAGTGCATTTTGTGCTTGTTTTGATAGCATCAATGCAAATCCTTGTGTATGTGGGGCATTTTCTTCTCCATAGCCAGAGTACAAAAGAAGCTCCCCTGAAGCTAGTCGTTGTTGTCCAACTTGCGTCCAACGTGTCACACTGATCCCAAGCATCCACAGGTTGTATCTCCTCATTTCTGCAGCAATTTGGAAAACTCTCGGTCTCCCACATTGTACGAACATTCCATGTACCTAAATAAATAGTTTCTCTGGTTGTCAGAAGGGGCACCAGCCTCGTGGCTTCCGAAGGAACTCGGCTTTCACTATGGAGCGTCATAACTCTTCTAAATGAAGACCTTCTGACTCCCAGGGCAGAGTTTAAGTGGTTTGAATAATTTTTTTCTGGCTAGCGTTTATTTAGCAAGTTAGTTTTCTACGGGATGGAGTCGCTAACCCCATGTCCAACCCTCCTCCTTTATCCGGGCTTGGGACCGGCAGTAGCCCCAGAAGAGTCTCAGGAAGAGTTAAGTTTGTCCATTAAATAATGTTTAAATTTATCCTTTAATCGATCGAAAATATATATAAAATGGGCATTACGATATCGCATGTTGTTTGTATAGAAAAATTATTGTGGACAGAAGTAAATTATCATATATCTCTCTAGGAACAATATCTAATTTCTTCATTCCCTTTTTATAGAGTCATTGCTTTATATAAAATTACTGTGATCAATTGGTAATGATCGTTAGAGAATGTTACTAGTCTCAGTGTAGGTTCAATAATAGTTGGTGTAACATTCATAAATAGCTCGTGTTCATGTTTCGTTAAACCGATGGATAAACTTGATACTTTTACAAAGTATTTATTTTGTATAGAAAAAGTGATTTCAATTCATTTCTGTTTTCTACATGCTTACTAACCTAATCATTTTTTTACTTAAAGTACCACTGAACAATTATATTGTTAGCATTATCTCCGTTGTCTTACGTATATATGTTAGTCAACATTTGTGTTTATTTATTTGTTTGAACACATAAATATTGGTACAAAGGGGCAACGAATACATATGCACCACACAAGTCACTTGATTTGCGTGTGGGCTGTGATACTGTCCGGGTGCTCAAACCAAAGCAGGTGACTCATCACAATATCTAATAAATGACCTTGTAAGTGTTATCTTGAACTACTGTTTTTTCTTCAGTCACGTAAGCACGAGTTCTTGTAGATGGCTAGTAATTGTTCTGCAATAGCGAATAAAAATGACTGCAGCTATCATAATCGTTTTTTGCACATAAAATAGTTATATAGTAACAATCCTCGATTTATTTATTTCACTAAAAAATTCCACTCGTCTTTAAGACCTTCGCCTCATTCAAGATAGATGTATCCATTTCAAACCCTAAATAGATCTGTAACTTAGCAGTTTAGTCATACACAAATGTTAATCGTATTGTTACAGGTTAGCAATCGCCACTAATTTTCAGTTTCCTTTGTTGAATAGCATGTTTGTAGCTACAACAATAAATGTAAGTCAATACATCACAAACGTGTATTTAATTACTCAAATTCTGCTATTAATTAGATTAATTTCTTCATCTAAAACTGATCTCAATTCGATTTGGTTCAGATTAATTTCGAATAGCCTTTATCTTTTGGATTAATTTTTCGACTTGATAGACTATTTAATTTAATATGTTTTCTCTATCATCCTCTCATAACTCATTTATTCATTATAAATAATTTTCTGCAGCCTACTAAAAAATCTCATGGAAAATCAGTCAATCGAACATCACCATCAACACCAGATGGTTTTTGGGATATTGACCTAGAACAACATGACAAGGGAAAGGAGAATGTTCCGGTTACAAATACGACTGATACTGAAGTGAATATTCGACACTCTTCCCGCCGCCGTCGACCTTTAAGCTTTCCCTCAGTTGAAATATCTCCCACACCAATTGAATAAGATTTACATGTAATTGTTTCCCACTGTTGTTTTTATCGACTTTTTATCATTTGATTAACAAACCCGGTAATCGTATATTCGTAACTTGTTTTTTTACACATTTCTACAAAATAAATTATCTACATTTTTATTTTTGTTACCTGTTATTCTGGTGATTTTCATTAATTATCAACTCATTGTTCAATCTTTTGTATTTAAGTTTATCTCTTTATTCAAGTATTAGCGTCTTATCCAATCCTGGGCTATCCTGTTCAATAATGAAATACCTCCATTTTTAAAAATCTCAAACTCTAAGTGAACCAACCAAAAAACTAGATCTGAACGTTCATAACTGTCCTATTGGTATTCTTATCCTCAATGGTCCAAATTGTTTTAACTAGATGAAATTTTTATTTGTATAATCAGACAGACATCCAAGCAATACAGTGACTGAATGAACTAAGAATATACATTGAGTGATGTGTATTAAAATCACATCAAATGTCTCGCATATATAGGTCAGTGAACTAATCCTTTGAGATAATCCAAAGTCTATTCAGAGACATAAATGTACACTGATAGAAGTTTAGAATTATCCACGTACTTACTCCTTTTACCTCTCATAGAACATAGGCCACTGGCCAGGATTCTCCAACAAACTCTGTTCTAGGCTCTCCTTCCATTCACTTTATGTCTGCTTTTGATTGGCCCTGACAGATTTACTCCTGAGATTTTTAAGGATGGTGGTCCAGTATTAGCAATGAGATTAACCGAGGTCTTAGGTAGAATTTGGGAACTGGACGTAATCCCATCTGACTGGTCTCAATCACTGATTGTGCCAGTCTATAAGAAAGGACAAAAGTCCTCTTGTGACAATCACAGAGGAATCAGTTTGACTAATATAGTGTCTAAAATATTAGCTTCAATAATACTTCGACGCCTAATCAAAGCTCGTGAAGAGCAGATTAGAGAAAACCAGGCCGGTTTTCGACCTGGACGTGGTTGTATAGATCAGATATTCACACTACGTCAGGTTCTAGAACACAGACACACATTCAGACGCCCCACAATGGTAGTATTTCTCGACCTTAAGGCGGCATTCGACTCTGTTGATCGTGAGGTTCTATGGCAGTGTTTGTCACTGAAAGGAGTACCAAAGAAGTACATTAACCTTATAAAGGCTCTCTACTCGAACACAACTGGTCGAGTGAGAGCTTATGGCGAACTGTCATCAGAATTGATTACCTCAAGTGGTGTTCGTCAGGGCTGTCCACTCTCCCCATTCTTGTTCAACTTTGTGGTCGACGTACTTTTAGAGATAACACTCTCCTCATCTAAATTTCCAGGGGTTGAACTTCTACCGGGAGGTTCACTTGTTGACTTAGAATATGCTGATGACATAGTTTTATTTGGTGAAGACGCTGACAAAATGCAGAGTCTTCTGACCACTCTAAGCAACAATGCAAGCATGTTCGGGATGCGATTCTCTCCCTCGAAATGCAAAATGTTGCTTCAGGATTGGGTTACATCGACACCCGAACTAGTGATAGGGAGTGAAGTAGTTGAGTGTGTCGACCGCTTCACTTATCTTGGAAGTCTCATCAGCCCTTGTGGTTTGGTGTGTGACGAAATCTCAGCACGGATACAGAAGGCTCGACTAGCTTTTGCCAACTTGCGTCATTTATGGCGTAGGCGAGATATCCGTCTATCAACCAAAGGACGTGTTTACTGCGCAGCAGTTCGTTCCGTCCTACTTTATGGCAGTGAAACATGGCCGGTAAGAGTAGAGGATATCCGTAGGTTACTAGTATTTGATCATAGGTGTCTTCGAAACATTGCTCGTATATCATGGGACCATCGAGTAAGTAACACAGTTGTTAGGAAACGGGTACTAGGTAAGGATGGCAAATCAATTGATGAAGTAGTGAAACTTCATCAGTTGAGATGGCTGGGACACGTGTTACGTATGCCCAACGACCGACTGCCTCGACGTGCTATGTTCAGTGGTATAGGAGTAGGTTGGAAGAAAGCTAGGGGCGGCCAAACCAAAACATGGCACAAGTCCATGAAGTCACTGACAAGTGAACTGAGTCATGTTGGTAGGTGTAGACTACCTGGTTGGGGACCGCGAGATGAAAGCAACCGATGGTTAGAGACCCTGAATGACATGGCTCAAAATCGTTTGCAATGGCGCAGGTGCATCCACTCTCTGTGTTCTCCCAAATTCTAATCTTCTGAATTCTTCATGTCCCTTTTTTCCTCTTTCCAAATTTATTTCACTGGATTATACTCTTTAAATAACATCTCCAAACCCTAATCTTCCCGATTACTGCTTATACTCTTGCTACCTCTACCACTACGGGATTTGAATCGACAACTGCATCTCTGTGCTAATGTGGTGTGGCAACTCGAACTGATGTACGTACGTACGAAGTTCTACGTTGTTACTGACTGACTGATTGCTTTTGATTCTCGGCGTGATGTGTTCTTTGATCTGCCTCATTTACTCTTGTCTTCAAGATCCCCAGTTAGGGCTTGTCTCATAATACAGTTTGATTTCCTCAGTATATTTCCAATCACCATCGAGCATCTTTTCCCGATTGGCCATACTGATTTCTTCGATCGTTGGTATAGTAGCAGGCATGGTAAGGTCTGTATGTGCTACTTCAATGTCCAATAGATTTGGGCCATCCTGGAGATATTCAAAGTGTCCTACTCACCTGTTCCTCTGTTCTTGAATCTCAGTGATTGGCTTGCTTTTTTCCTTGACTGGTCGCCCCAGTTTACTGTATTTCCCTGCTAGTTTCTTTGTTGTTTCATATTTACTTTTCTTGCAAACTTTTCATCTGTCATTGCTAGGTTTTACACGTATTTCTACTTACGGGCTCTAATGCTTCTCTTCATTCACTTGTTTGCTTCTGTGTATTTGGTTTGCACCTTGACTTTCACTACTCTTGTTTGACTATTGTTAACTGCTGTCTTGTTCTTCCTTTCTTGAATTCTGCCCAGGGTTTCAATAGATTCATTCTGTATGATTGTGTTTCATGAGACCCAGCCTAATCAGCCCTATTGAAGTTAATGTTTTCTTCATGTGTCTCCATTTGTCCTCCATAATAGTTCTCTCTTTTAGTAGATCTTGTAGAGCTCGAAACTTATTACTGAGAGCGATCTTGAATTAGATAAGTTTGTCAGTATCTCGAAGTCTGTATTGAACGTTTGTAATACTATTTACCAAGTTATCCAGTTCTTTAACTGAGCGTTCAGCTTGTGCATCATCACGTGGTGATCTTAAGCAATATCATTCCTGTTATCCCATAGTGTCTTTGCCTTTCATGAACCTTAAGATCTTTTATTGATTCAAATACTATCGATCCGTTTCTTTGTAACGTGAGACCTATGTAGCTTTATGTATGCTGTGGGGAAATATCGTGCCACTAATAGAAATTTTGTTGATGGCACATGAATTTGACAATCTCGCCATTCTTGTTTCTTTCTCCATGTTGTTTCATATCTTCCTAATCGATGTTGTCAATTCCGAATTCGGAGTTTAGGTCTACTACCAGGATAGTCGTGTCATTTTCCCGGGCACTTCTCCACGACCGACTGCAGCTTCGTAAGACTGATCTTTACCGTCTTCGTTGCTATCATTGGTAAGTGCATAACACTTGATAACATTCATTCTGATTCTCTCATTTGTTTTGGAGAATGCTTTGATTCTGGATTCCCACACCGTAAATGTATTCCGTGTTTCTTTGGATATAATCAGTGCAACTCGTTTATATAAAGCACTTTCTCCATAATCAGAGTACAACAATTCCTCCCAAATCTAACCCTTTCTGTCCAGCTTGGGTCCAATGAGTTTGACTTATTCCAAGAACCACCGAGTATCTCATTTCTGCAGGAATTTGTTCCTTCCGGTCTCACATTCTCCAGTTATTACGTGAACTTATTCTAATTGTTGCTCTGTTTGTTAGAGGAGGGCATCAGCCTCGCAACTTCCGAATAATATCGGCTTTCATCATGAGGCATCATAATTCTTCTGAATAAAGATCCTTTAACTCTCAAGGCAGTGTTTGGACGGTTTGATTGGTTTTTTCCTGGTAAGTATCTTTTAGCAAGAGTGTTCCCTACAGGATTAGTTTCCTGACCCTTTACCCGAAATTGGGACCAGCAGTAACCCTAAAATGGCTACAGTCTGAGTATAAATTAGCTTTATTACTAAGTACTAATAACTAGGATGGAACTGAAATTTCTTCAACAGTCACATAATTGTCTGCTATGCTAAACAGATGATTATAAGTTTAAGTTGTCATATACGGAGATTTCTTGTCATTTAAAAAACTAAAACAGTGCGAGTATTTACACGTTTTGGTATAGTTGAACTTGATGGAATATGTTAAATCAAATCAACGGGTCATGAGTTGTGATTACAGCTTATACATATTCCTCGGAACTTAGATTTGTCCGATTGGACAGCATTATGGTTTCGTGAAAAAGTAATGTATTACTACAAATGTGATTGCTAGTGATTTTCTTCAGATGCTATTTGAAAATATGCAGTACAGTAGCGTTAAGGTTCATCAGTGTTATACATACCTGTTCCTTCAGTCAGTAGGTTTTTTTTACTTGATCTTACGGCAGCGAAACATGGCCATTAAGAGTAGAAGACACTCGTAATCTACTAGTATTTGACCACAGATGCCTTAGAAATATTGCTGGCGTCTGCTGGGATCACCGGGTAAGTATAATAGTGAGGTTAGACGCAGGGTATTAGGAGGGGGTGGTAAATCAGTTGATGAGGTTATGAATCTTCATCGACTGAGCTGGTTGGGCCACGTGTTACGTATGCCTGAACACCGATTACCACGACGTGCAATGCTATCCGGTATTGGAGATGGTTGGAAGAAAGTTAGGGGCGGCCAAACCAAAACGTGGCATCAGTGCTTGAAGACACTAACTTCTAGTCTTAGCCATGTTGGTAGATGCAGACTGCTTGGTTGGGATCCGCGTGATTTTCGTAACCAATGGTTGGAGACTCTTGGTGACATGGCTCAGAGTCGATCACAATGGCGTAGGTGTATACACTCCCTGTCTTCCCCTAAACTAAGAGATTAAAATCACTTCATTTCTTTCTTTGTACGAACCAATTCTTTCTTCTTGTAGTATATCTCTATATGCAATCTTTCTCTTATATATTACCACCTTTGACCTAACCACTGCTATGAATCCGGTGTTCGTCTCGTTGTGCTGATGCGGTATGGCAACCTGGACCGATGCACATATGTACCTGGTCCTACGTTGTAGCTGACTGACTAATACAGGTGCTATCTTCCTTAAATAATACGTTTCCCCAACTCTGCTGAACCACCTTTCGTCAGCCAACGTAAATGTCGGAGATCAACTACGAAAGTCTAAATTATTAATGG